ACTTGGTCGTCTCTAAGCACAACCATATGCAAACGATGTAAACGATCACATTGAAACCATTTTGGATCACAAGGCTGTCACAGTCCTTCCAATGAAACTAACATCATCCACATACTCTAAGGCGTAATGAAGGCTTTACAGTCATCATGGGCCATGAGCTGACCCAGTCCGCTTGGTGCAGCTAGTGCCCACGTGACGACAGACACCGGTGGCGTCTAGGACGGCACGGCACGAGCCACCCTAGCCCACAGCAGCCCAGCATCTGGCGACACTAACCGGCTGGGCAGTTCATGACGTTCCACCCGTCTGCACTGATCTCAGCTCCTCCCGTCCCCACCCGCGCCAGCCGCGACTGGCCGCGACAGTTAGCCGTGACCCTGGAGGCTTGGCCAATACCCAACAGTGTAAGAATGTGAAACGGATGTCCCGTGGCGAAACGCGCAAAAAAGATGGGCTGGGAGAACGATGGATGGGATGAAGTTCATGGTCTGCTTTTTAGGTGGCGAATGAGTTCAAGTGCTAACTATTTGGCCATCAGGATTTATAACGCTGTGCGAATCCGTTCGGAAGGATGTGGAGTGTGGGCGCTTGAACAATGATATAATTGTCATGACTATCAGTTTGGTTACAACGTAATTTTACCAGACAATGGAGTAAGCCGGCCTGGTTACAGCAAATTATCAAAGGCTACGCCGAAACATGTCCAGCGTAATGGCCAGCAGTATCAACAGTAAACCAACAGTACCCGCACTTCATCATGATCTGCAGGTTCCACTCATTCAACGGGAGATCTGGGAGCATCATCGGACGGTGATTGCCAAACACGGGTGGTTAGATCAGATATGAAGATCAGATTCCAGTCAGCTCGGCGACTTAAACTGAGGGAATCCCCTGCTTGTCATAGAGCCACCGTCACCGCAGCGAGCGCAACCTCAATCTGCAGGGTTATACGCAATCGCTCCGGTTCGCCAAAGCCCTGCTTTAGATTTATCCAAACTTAAAAAGCAACAAGCATCTGAAAAACAGCCAATCGAGCACCACATTGTCCTTACAAGTAAAAAGGAGCACGGAGCACAAGCAATCATCTCTGATTAACTCTTGCGTTTCGAAACCAGCGTACGGCAACCTTGTAAACTCGGCTAACAGTCACATATGAGCGGAGCCATTATCATTTGCCCGACTCCCGTTTCACAATGTCCTTTGAAGCGCAGGGGTCCTGTCGAAAAAGCCATAGTCCACGAACGGCGGCGGCGGGCGTGATGAGTTGGTCCTTGGGTGTCTGCTGGAGCGAGGCGAACCAGTCCGCAGTCGGGGCCCGGTGTGACCTCCCCGACCCCACTGCTGACCTCCCCCCGCTGACCTGTGACACCCATCCGCGCCCACCAGACCCAGCGGCAATTAGTTGTAAAATATTATTCACCTCGGAACAGTCATGGTCAAGCTTTAAAAAGTATATAACCGATAAAAAGGAAGACAAGGTGGGTCCATTATACTGCCCGAATATAACTACCTGGCTAATGGGCCGATATCATGTCCCTTCCTACGCACCAGGGGGGTGCGCTACGGGCTTTTAACATTGCGAAAAGTGGAGACACCTTCGCTAGCGCTGTCAGCACCGTAAGCATTCTAAACAACAACTGCAGTAATCCCACCAATTAGCGTACGCCAATACTCGACGCTCATTGGCTGATAAGCCAGTGACGATTTTGGGGGCCACAGCGTTAGAGGTAACCTATAGCAGTACGGGCTGTTCAGTTTAGGACTTGATTTTGATATTATTTAGGCCAGTCTGATAAAAACTCGGGTCGGTAATGAAAACTGCAATTCATTCTAGTAGTGGCCCGACTATATATGGCCTTGGGTCTGACAAGTCTTTTTGAGCTTTTTTTTATAAAACAATTCATTGAAAAATGAGTTATTAGATGCGTACTCATGCCAAATTTGCCCCGTTACCATGGCAACCTGAGTTTGTTTGGTACCCAGAGTCGCGGTTACTAAATTCATTTTTGTCCCCAGTTTTTCGTCGGGAGCGTTCTACCTGGTTTACATAGCCTTGCTACGCACTATACTGCTGAAGAGTTACGCCGGGCCAATTCTGTTAAACGCTCAGTCACCCTACTTGATGGCACACGGCTGAATTAGCCGTCAGAGCACATCGACCGCAAGGTCATACCAAAGTGCGTTCATTATCAAAGCGACGAGTGACAAATGATGCCACGCTTCGCTGCATATAACTCTCATAACCTTCAAAACCATCCAGCACACGAGTCACAATTATCGTCACAATTATCTACAGGCGCACCGCTTGATTGCGCGTCATATTCATCCATTCCATCTGTAGCGCACCATTAGCATGATTTGTTCTGCGAAATTCCCAGGGAGCTGACCGCATACAAACGATCCTACCGTGTGCCCTGAGGCGCGATCGGCTTTTTAAAGACGCCACATCACTAGCCGATGACCGGTTAAGCCGCGTCAAATTATCGCCAATTTGCCTTGGTGATCACGTTTAGCTAGCCCCTGCCGCGGGCGCTTGCCAAGTGAATTAGAGGGAGGGAGCCAATTACATGGCTATCTGTGGGACCAGGGAGTAGTAATACGTTGCCAGAGGGTGAATGCAGATCAGAGAAGTCGCATAAACAACCAAAAATTACGGAAGTTTAACGACATTTTATTTTGATTATAATGTTTGTGCCTCGAAACAAGAATGCTTTCAGGTATTTGTTGCTAGAAGAGAAACATTTTCGTAGTTATGTGCAAGTACAGCTTGAAACATTTATTGGCCTGGCCCTGAGAAACCTATCGGTTATCGTGCCTCATCTGAAATCGACGAGCTTGGAAAAACAAAAAAATATTCGACTGATCAAGAAAACAAGCATAACCTTCCAGTTTTACTATAGAGCATAAGCAAATGAGGAGATCGAGATCGTAACTTTCAAGCAACCGAAACTCGATCATGATGTTCCTCAATAGGATATTTTATTTCGCAAGCATTGCTCACGTCTCCATCATGCTCGATCCCCCAAGATGAGACGCTAGAAAACCTATTGCTCACTACCTCTCCCATTTTCTAGCGTCTTCGTGCTCCACTGGGGGTTGCCGTTATCCGTTTCCAGTTAAAAGACTTGATAGGCTTTTCACAGAACAGCGCAATGACGTGAACATCGGAGATTGACGCCCCCGGAGACTTCAGCGTCGGGATGCGAACCTAACGAGAGACTGCAGTACCTCACAGCGGAGCATCACCAGAGACTGCAGTTCTGGTTAGCAGAGTATCACACAGATCGGAGCACAGCCCAGGCCGCCAAGAGGAATAATGCAACAGATTGATACATCAACAGCCATTCACTGCCAAGCTGAATGATCCACGTCGGGCCATAATAGCGCCCATACTTTCCGTCATCGAGCACGAGTCGACCCTGCTTTGTCACGTAATGTCCTGCGCGTCGTGACGGGTCGGGTCAGTGCAGCGTGACGTCTCGTGACGACCGTGACCCTTCGGTCGGGTCCACTGCGATCCATACATCACACTGGTGACCCGGTGCACCGGGGTGGGTGCCAAGGCTGTCCCGGGGTCGCGGTCGCCACGGATCGGCATCGGTCCGCTATGATGGGCGTGTGACATGAACCGTGCCGTGCACGATCGCCCTGATGGCATGGTAACGGGCAACGAACAATACACACCGTGCCCGGTGGTATGTGGGCATTGTGCAATGCGTACACATGGAAACAATAGTCATTGGCATGCTAATGAATGGAGGAGGAATGGTAAATTGACGGTGGTGAAAAGTCTTAGCCTAAAAACAAACTGGGATTATAAGCGGTAAGCACATAGATTCTCATCATGGGGACAATGAAGGATAAGAGCAAGGGGTAAAGTAGGATCGCTTGTAAACTCAGAGGGTGCCGCGAGGGGCTAAGCAGCAGCCTGTACCACCACTGTGCGGACCCCATCTCGTTGGCAGCTCGTGGCCACGAGACTCGCCTCTCCTGCGGGCCGCGGAGACCGGATCGGGGCCGGCCGGCCGGTCCACAAGGCCGCCTGGTGCGCCGGGTGTCGCGCGCGGTGGCCGACCCTGCTCTCAGCCGGTCGCGGAGGGTGGTGGAGGTGGTGGAGGTGCACCTCGCAGACACACGGTGGGCGAGACCAAGTCAATCGGCAGAGAGACACCGTCAACCGGGCTCTGTTTCACATCACGCTACTAGCGCCTTCGGTCTCCATGGAAACACCGACAAACTGCATTGTGGGCGTCTCAATTTGTTTTGAAGTTTCCATGGAAACCGAAAGGGTCTCGGTTTGTTTAAGTTTGCATGGAAATCAAAAGCGCTAGTAGCTGTGAAACAGGACCCCGGTGGAGAGACGCCGAGCCGTTCAGAAGCTTCGCCAGAGCCGAGGATCTGTCAGATTTCCTCGCCCGTTACCCTTGAACTCGGCGGTCGGGGACACATTGATCGATAGGGTTTTTCAGAAGTTATTGCGGTCTGGATCGCGCTAATAGCGATGATGGGAATTCTTTGGGTCACACGGTTCCTGGTTAGAGCCCGTGCAGAAATGAGAAACACTTGTCGGCACGAAATTCCCATCGAGGCAGCCGAGAAGCCGATCGAAGGACGAATTCTTAATGAAAGGAATTTATGTATCACCTCCGGCTAGACCAGTCTGACTAACTGCTCTCTCGTGCAGTCCATCCTGCAGAGCAACTCTCTGAAACCAGACTTACGGGTCTCCGCATACAGGAATAGGTTTCGTAACACGCTGGACCTGCCTTTCTACCGCTTCCTAACGCAGCCGTTGACAGATAGTGATGATTGCGGCATTATAACATCTAGAGACATTTATCTCACTAACAAACTGGTCTCGAGTTCAAGTGGCATCTTCCGTGTGTATGAAGCTTCCTCGTCTAAGCTGCATTTTAGTTTATATCGATTGCCCCCTCCTGTGCATAAACAAAAAACACAAACATGTTCGCTGACGCCAGCTCTTGTCTGTGTGCCGGCAGGTGGCGGCTGTGCCGACATGTCTCTCTTCAACTACATGCTCTACTACTACCTGATCCAGGCGCAGAACAACCACGACAAGCACAGCCAGGCCGACCAGATGGCGGCCGCGCTGCTCAAGCTGAAGCGGTCGCGGGGTACCGACCCGATCCCCACGCTCATCAGCACCACCGCCGGTCAGAACGCGCTGCTGGCCATGCTGCAGAGCGTGGCGCAAAACAACCCGGCCCAGTTGCTGACGCTGCTCACGTCTATACGTGGCGGCGGCGTGGCGCCGCAGCCGCAGCCCGCCGCCGGCTTCAGCCAGGGCTTCGGCCAGGGCTTCGCCGGCGGCGGCGGCGGCTTCGGCGGCGCCGGCGGCAATGGCTTCGGCGGCTACCCCTCGCGGGACCAGCTCTACCAGCAGGGCTTCCCGCCGACCGGTGGCTCCGGCTTCGGCGGCCTCCAGGCCAGCAGGACGCTCTACAGCCCGCAGGTACAGGCGCAGGCGCTATACCGGCCACAGCCGGCCGCCACCGCGCACCTTCCGTTTGCCATCGGCGATGAGAAGCTTGACAACTCGCTGCAGTTCTCACCATCGCTTCGCCGGCAGGTGTACGCGCCACAGCCGGAGCTGGAGCCGACGCCGGCACCCGCGCGCACCATCATCCGCGAGCCGAGCACGCGCCTGCACGTCAGCACGGTGACACTAGTCACGACCGTCCTGAGCAGCCAGCGTTCGGCCGTGCCGCTCGTCTACAACGGCCAGTCGACCACCACGGAGATCATGGCGACCGCCACGCATACGCTGACGGCCACACAGCTGCAGACGCTCGCCGTCGTCGTCACGCCCACTGTGGTCGAGGCGAACGGACAGACGACCACGCTGTACGGCGGTACCGGTGCGCCGGCTGCCGAGATCGTCACAGACCTCAACTACCACGACGAGCCGACGCCCGTGACGGCGGCGGCCATCACGCCGACCGCGCAGCCGCAGCCGGTGGTGGCGACGGCCGCACTGGAGGGTCTGCCGGCGCCGGCCGCCCAGCAGGCAGCCGCCGCGCTCGGTCAGCTGCTGCTCCAGCCGGGTCAGACGCCGCCGCTCGGACCTGTAGCCGCCCAGGAGACCACTACCACGACCACAACGACGACCACAACCACCAAGAAACCGGACCGGCTTCTGGCGCTGCTCAAATCCCGCGCGCAGGCCCGGCGGAGAGGCACCCCGAGGCTCAGCGCTCCGCGACGCGGCGACCCGCGCAGGAGGAAAAAGAACGGCAGCTCAGAGGAGGAGGACGATGAGGATTACGAGCAGCAGCCGCACGTCAGCACCAGTGTGTCAGTGAGCGTCTCCGAGCCGGGCCAGCCGGCGTCGTCTCCGGTGCAGCTGGTGAACGGCGTACCGGTGGTGCAGGCGGTGCCGGTCAGCACCAGCACGCCGGCACCAGCGCCCGTGTTCCGGCCCGACCCGGTGCCGGTGTACGTGGAGAAGGACGGTGTACTGGTGATCGCTGCTGCGCCGCTGCAGCCGGCAGCGCCCGCCGCCACGCCGGCCGCTCCCGTCTTCAAGCCGGAGCCGGAGACGCCGGCGCCGACCCCAGCTCCGACAGCGGCGCCGACAGCCGCGCCCGTGACGGAGCAGGTGGTCATCGCCGCGGTGACGCCGTCACCAGCACCGTCACCGAGCCCGTCACCGTCCTCAACACCGGCGCCGACACCGGCACCGCCCGACGACTTCAGCTTCGACTTCGAGGAGACGGTGTACGCCAGTCCTTCGACGTCGACGGAGAAGGTGGTGACTGAGGAGGACTTCCAGAACCTGCTGGACGGCACGTTCGTCATCCTCGCCCAGTCGCTGCCGGAGGCGACGTCGTCCGCGACGCCGGCCGCCGCGCAGGAGGAGGAGGGCAGTGGACAGTCAGACTCGGACGTCAAGGTGTCCGTGTCGTACGCGGTCTCGACCAGCGTGTCAGAAGGTCGGCGGAGATAGTCACATGGACGCCCGGCGGCCCCCGCAGCCGCCAGTCTTGTTACGGACCGCCGCGCGCGGTATGTGCGTCTACTGAGCCAGTGAGCGCCGCGGCGCCCAGCGCGTGGCCGTGGGAGAGAGACACACGCTGACCGAGTGGAACCGAGGCGCCCGCGTGGCGTGCGCGCGCGCGTTGCTCAACCGATTGCAGAGTGGCTGTTGCTCAAGCTGGGAGCGGGCGGAGCGGGGACGGCTCAAAGGCGACACTGACGCCCGAGTTCCCAGCCGGCGCTGTACGCTGGCCGGCGACCGTGCGGTCGTCCCACCCAGAAACCGAACCGTGTGGCCGTCCGGCGTGTCTCACGCCGCGTGGTTGGGAGAGACGGGGTGGCTAGTCCATCCCTATCGGCAGGAAGGGCTGGTCCCGAGGACGGAGGCTGAGGAGAGGAGCGAGCGAGCCGCACCCGACGCGTGACCGTCCCGCCAGCGTCCGAGCGCGATAATACTCCGGGGCTGCGATAGTCGACACGCCAACCACTGCGATACTGGGTCAGCCGCTCAGACGCCCCACAAAAAGACATGACCGGCCACGCCGAGCCGTTATGCAGACACGCGAACGACCGACTCGGCGAACCGACATAGACTTGTCTGACTACGCCCGACTCGGCTCCGTGACTTGGCATACGCCACGGCAATCAACGGCTAACCAAAGGATCAACGCTCATCGTCCGCCGTCGCCGCTGCCGACTTCGCTAAACTAACAGACCGGCCACTAACTGGACTCCGATTTGAGCTTCCGACCTCCGCACTAACTCGACCAGCGTCGATACGCCTCGCTTTCAAAACTAACCCCTTCGTTTACAGGTCGAGCGACCCGGTCCGCGACCCCAGGCTTACAGGTGATGACTCGGTGCCCCGGTGACTGACGACTGAACTGACTGACGACTGTCCCCGTCCACAGCTCCGACTGCCGCAGTCCCTCTGCGCCTCCCGGGGCCACCTTCCGAGCCACGTCCCAGCTACCGACACAGCGGAACGGCGGGATAGACACCACGGGATGGTCTCCAGTCGCGCCGGGCGGGTCCGGCAGTTTATGTTCATTCTCGGGAATCATGCGTCGGGTGATGAAAGTGAAGCTCAGTTTTAGCCTAGGGCAGGGGGAGAGCGGGCCCAAGGAATAAGGATCCAGTATGCCTTGTCCAGTCCCGCGTGTTGTCGGACAAAGCCTGATGAGGGCACTCATGTGCTCAGTGCGTGTTGTCTTTGTGTATGTCTGTCTATGTGTGTATGTGCGTGAGAGACAGATGGATATTGTGCTGTGCATCAACTCTATGTGCTCTCACGGGCGTGCTATATTTTTGACTCAAGCAATGTGCGCTGCCTGTCGAATGAATTGTCTCACCTCAGCCGATTCATGCATAATATATTGTTATTACTTGAACTTTGGCTTTTCGATTTCATACAGAGTTGATTTTTTCTAGCCGTACAACATGACCTCACTTAACATGCCATGAAACGTGTTTTATCAGCCTTATAATTTTCAAGTTCATTTCATATTTGCTTTCATTGATGTGTAATTTCCAAATAATGCAATGTCATGTCAGTCTGCCGTTAAGAAGTGCCTATAGAAATGTGTGTCTGAACCATGCATGCCATGTTTTCAGCTCCACATGCCTCCGACATACCCTTATTGAGCAATAAGAAGAACTTCTCACACTGTATCACACGCGGCGGTACCGCTGTCGAGGCCGGCAACGCACCACGGCCAGTCCAGATTCTCTCACGCGGTACTGAATCACAATGCGGTAGTAGCCAGTCGGTCACAGGGCCAGTCAGATCACCCGAGAGCCGTCAACTGGTGGGAACACTAGGGCTGGCAGAAAAGTATCGGAGCCAATGGGATAGCTCATCCGGATAGGAAACTCCAGAATATTGCGCTTCAAGAAAGGCGATTACATGAATTGTTTACGCGGTATTACGTTGAGCGCCAATCTGTTTTGCACAAAAAAAGAGAAAAATTCGTTCACCAAAATGTTAAGTCATATGCATCAAAATGACAAGGTCCTCAAAATGACATCGTTTTGAGTCGTTGCTAATCGCCTGATCATGCGAGATAACCTTCAGCCTTCGGTCAGACATGTCCGGTCATCCGTGACAGATCGCGACTAAGGTCATACATAGATAACTCTCAATGGACCGGGCAGCCAGTTATGACCACCTTCCGACCCCCCAGCCCTGCGTCTCAGGCACGTTTCAGAATGTGGCGGGCATGTTTCATGCCGCCGGCTAGAAATCGACCTCGTAAGGCAGTCCTTTTATCTCCGGGGATGATGCAACTCGAATCGTCCTGCCGTACCCGGGTGTTTCATGCGCTGAGGTTCTTGTGGACCGATTCACTTTAGATACAGGTCATTAGATACGCACCCCAGGATCTATTACGAAAGGAACTCCCGAGGAAGCCAAGATATTACAACAAAAACGTCTAATGAGAAATGAGCATCAGAAGCTCAAACTTTCTCAGATCATGCCACATCAAACGAATAGTTTTCACACCGTATGAAGTTTATCACACGTGAAGACTGTACTCAGTGGTAACTACCGCTTATATCATCGTCCCAGTGCTCGCCACATGGCCGCGGTCCTCACGACGCTGAGAGTAATGGCTTCCTCGTGGCTATGGGAGCGGCGCACCTCCTGAGGTCGGTACTGGGGCGCTACCCATGGGTCACGATCAGGGGCCGTCACGGCCGCGCGCAGGCCCTTCGGCAGATTCTGATCCAAGTGAAGGTCTCGTCATTCCTACACGTCCTCGCAGATGAGAAACGTCAGGGCAGAAATGTTAAACAGAACGTCCAGACCATCATAACTGGGAGGATAATAAATGGGTATTAAGTCCCGTTATTCAGCCAGAATGAGCTTTGTGATAACCCAGTCGGCTGCTGGAGCTCATGTAAAATAAAAACCAATGATTTTTTAAAAGTGTAGGGACGAGGTAAACACAGGGTAAAGGGAGAACCTCACATGAGTTTGGTTTCAGACGCTTAATTCCCCTAAAAACTGCCGTTACGATCAAAGGAAGTCAAGTTCCTAGGTCATTGTGCTCAAGCACGGTCAACCAAACAGCGGCGTAACTTGTTTGGTGTGCATGTAGAACTATAAGATCGCATTCGCGCATTATAGATCGATTCATGAGGGTCAAGTGATGGCTCGATCGCCTTGAGTTTAATTTCAAATGGCAATTAGAATGTCTTTCGTTGGCACATCAGCATATCCGATGCTAAACTTTTATTTATACTGCTTATGAGATGGTAATCCGAATATATGCAGGTCATAAAAACTGTAAACTGAAAAGCATCATTTTAACATTAATGTCAAGTGTGAAACTGAAGACATTCGTAGGAGCAGATGGTAGATGATAACTACGTATTACGTCGACCGTATTCTCTAAATGTGAGAACTTTATTATCTCTCTAAGCAACAAACAAAGTTGCAATAAGATGCAGTTTGCACTTAACGATAAGAACCATTCCTAATTAAAAAGTTCAATCTTTCAACCTCGTGGCCAATTAATTTCGAAATAACTTCTATCAATAGGGTTTTCTTATCACATCCCTAAATACCTATGGTAAATAAATATAAAAAAACAACAAACTGACCAGACTACACTCAACTGTATGTACACCAGGCAACAATGTAACGGCAACAGCAGTCGCTGACCTTCCTTCATTAGCGGACATCGGTTTGACAAATTACAATACCCTCTTCACCATTCATTCATCGGTCACTTATCAGCCCAATGCAATACTGGAAGTACCGACGTGCCACTCCATTTCCCGTTTCCAGTTCCTCCCCATTCGTCGGGCCGTGCCGCCTGTGCCGACCCAGTGACCGGCAGACGGTGGGCCGGTAGACCGGTCACCGGGTCGGAGCCGTCTGCTGGCGGTACGGGCGGCGTCCAAGCACCGCCAGTGAAAGGCACCCAGCGAGACCCGCACAGCCACCGGCGCCGGCCCGGCCGACCGGCCACGGCTGGGTCGGGTCGGCTCACCCAGACCGGCTAGCAGGGTCGCATGTGATGAAACAACCATTTGGCAACGTCGCCTCCGCCGCGCGGCCGCCATGGCAGCGGCACCACTGGGTCTCCAGGCGTTTGGCAACCGATGCCGACCGCCGAGCGGTCTTGGCTGGCAGGGTCGCTGCCGACAGCTCAGGGTGTTGTCAGTCCGGGAGCCGAGCTGTTGCACTGCAGGCGCTGCGTGCGCACCGCTGGGAGAGGGGTCAGAGGACGTGGCATCCCCACCGGGAGGTGACAGCCTAGTACGAGTTGGGGCAGACGTGTTCAAACACACCGCTCTTCTGTCGGGTTTACGAGTCAGTGAGTAAGCAGAGTGACTCTCAGGATTATGCTGTGGTCGATATGTCAAACACGAATGCATGGGCATAATCCAAGGCGCTAATGCTGATACAAACATTCCAAACGTGTGTGAACCAGCGTAATCCTGACCGATAGCATCCGAGTAAGTGGCGTGCTATGTCATCGCGTTACCGAGTTCGTTAAGACCAGCAGCCATCGACACCATCAGAGGGTTAATTTGCACCTGTAGAATACGGTAACTCATCAGCACAACATCCGTCCATTGTAGACAGTCATGCCCCAGCTGGGTAGCGAAGTGGTTTGGGCGCAGCTGATACCTCTGAACACCAGCTGATCCGTGAACACCACCTGTAGCTACCTCAGCTGGCGGGGCGGCAGACCGTAACGAGCCGCCCCCGCCCCCGCCCGCTGCTGGCGGCGACCGCCCCGGGCCGACCGCCAGAGACACACCCGATTCTGAGCCAACCACCTCGGCGGCCACTGAGTCAGGGTCACAGCCAACACCGCACTACGCAAGCGGCCCACCACGGGCGCACCCGAGCCGACCAGTTACGCCAGCCGTCCTGTGAAACCTGCGTTTATTCTGCATGAGAAAGTCCCACGGCCATGAGCGTGTCTGTCGCTGTGCGTAGCGAACAATGCAACTGTCAGTGGGCGACGGACGCACGGGCCGCGGGCTAAGCGCGGCCGCGACTCGGATTACAAATGAGTGTCCCGTTTCCCGGGGGCACGTGCGTTGTTTGCGACATGGCTAACATGAGCCGTGCAGCGACGAAAACGAGAGGACCATTCCCGGCCTGGCGAGAAGCGGAGTATGTGTGCAATCGACGACATGCAACATGCCCTTAGGCATACACGGGCATACATGTATGTTTTGCTCTGCAAAGAACTGTCTGCATAGGACAAGCTCTGCATGAAACCGACACGGACACATCTGTCCTCGGCTGTTTGTAAGCTAACTCGAGCCGTGGTGCATCTGATCGCCCCGGACGTGCCTCCCGAGACGAGAGAGAAAGCGACCGCCTGATTTACAACCGCCTATCGTTATTGGCTCGGATTGGCAGAGCGGCGCACTGTAGCTGGGTTAGAGAGAGGAGCCCTGGGCGCTGGGCGGCGGGGAGGCGGCGCCGCTGGAGGTCGGCACGACCTCGCAAGGACGCCGCCCGGCGAATGCCCCAGTAATAACAGCACTCTGAGGCGAAACATCCGCTCCCATCGCTCCACGACGCGGTGGCTGCGTGCCATGAGTCGGAGCTCAGCTGGTCGGCACAAACAGCCGTCGACGAGTGGCACCGGGGCTCAGCGGCCGTTCGAATCACTCGGTAATCGCATTAGCCATGCTTTCGCAACGGGAAGAGCCGGCTGAAAGGACGGCGTGTCAGGACTGCGGCAGCCGTGACCTTGGCGTACTTACGCTCACTCAGTCGAGATGCCACGAAAGATGATTTCACCGAGCCCCGCCATGAAGGAATGTTGCAAAATGCCGCGGTTTATTTGCAGGTTGATTAGCATTATTGAGTTACTTTCACAGACCTGAGCCCCGCAGGTTTGGCGGTGTTTGGAACGCAATAAAAAAGATGCTTCAATGATTCACCTTCACGCACCTTCTTGAACCGATGTTTAAATAGCGGATTTAAAAGAACGGATCATTATTATCATCTTTACTCAGCAATGAAGCTCAACGGCGAAAACCTCGTTCCTATCATGTCCCAACACTGGAAAGTTCGCAGGTTTCGAATTTCGTCCGCCTTGCTTCACGGGCCTTACTGCCGGGCTGGCTCTGCCGCAACCACTGAAAGGTCACGACCCCTCGCCGGGCAGCCCCACGCATTTAGGCGGTCGATTATGGAATCAGCTCGGCATCACAACCCGAACCGGCACCGGAAACCTGCCTCACCGAATACCATATCGAGATGGAGAGGCAGTGAAATTGAAAGGGTTAGTGGGCGGGTCACACGCCACAAGTGTTTCCACGAATGCACTGCCCAGTGGTTGGCCGCCATCATTTGGATGATGTTTTCAGTTTTGGTGATTCCATATGGCATAGATGTCGGCTTAAAACATTT